TGTAATTTTGATGAAGTCCAACTGATCTTTTTCTTTTGTTGCTTGTGCTTTTGGTGTCATATCTAAGAAGGCTTTGCCTACCCAAGGTTATAAAGATTTTTTTGTTTTCTTCTAACAGTTTAAAAGTTTTACCTCTCGCATTAGGTATATGATCCTTTTTGCGTTAATTTTTGTATATGATATAAGGTAGGGATCCAGTTTATTCTTTCACTTGAGGATATCCAGTTGTTCTAGCTCCATTGGTTCAAATTTCCCCATTGTTTTGACATTCTTGTCAAAATCAATTTGCCATATATGTAAGGTTTTATTTCTGGATTCTCACTTCTGTTCCTTTCATCTATTTGTCTGTCCGTGTGCCAATACTGTCTTTATTACTATAGCTTTGTAGTAGGTTTTGAAATTGCCAAGTGCGAGTTCTCCAACTTTGTTCTTTTTCAAGATTTTCTGTCTGTTGTGGGTCACTTGCATTTCTGTATGCAATTTAAATATCAGTTTGACAACTTCTGCAAAAAAAGGTAGCTAGGATTTTGCAAGGGATTGTGTAGAGTGTGTGGGTCCATTTGAGGAATATTTTCATCTTAATGATATTGTAAAAGACATAGAATGTCTTTCCATTTAAAGAAATTAAATGCAATTTAATTTCTTTAAATAATGTTTTATAAGTTTCAGAGTACAAGTATTATGCTTTTTTCTCTCAATTTATCCCTAAATACTTTGTTCTTTTTATGCTATTGTAAATGAAATTGTTTTACTAATTTCATTTTTTGATTGTCAACTCACTAAAATTTGGCCTCTGCCACACTGACCTTGCCTCAACCTAGACTACTAGAGTGTAGGGATCATAAAGTCAAGTGCCTGCAGGAGCCAGGTATATAACCTGGAGGAGTGAAGCAGGCTGAGTGGGACAGTGGTCACTGGGTCAGGCTGTGCCTGGTTTAGAGGGGACAGCTGCTCTCGAGTTCTAGTTGATGGTTGCTGTGAGGTTGTGATGGTTCGGCGTTGCCACATCTTATGATTTTCCAAAAAAAACTAGAAATCTGGATTTTTGTGTGAGAAATCCTAATTTGCAAGTTAGCAACTAAGCAGACACATACAGACACACATACATCCACAATATAGGCCAAGCAAATCATATGTGTTTTTAAGGATGATGTTTAAGGATGATGCCAGTGAACAAAGTGAGAGTGAAATGTTTGATGTACCACTCACCTCCTTAACTGTAAGCAATGAGGAGTCCCTGATGTGTCCACTAACATTTCTCTTGCTGTGGTAACCATTTTCCCTCTTAATTTTTTCTTTCTGACTTCTCTGTCTGAGAACCCTGCTTATTACAGCAAGTTTGCTAAACATCATTGCAGCATAGTTTGGGCTTGCTTTTTTGTTTTATTAACACTCATATAATGTTTTTCTGTTATTCGTGATTTTAGGCAGTTTAATAAACTAGTTTGTATGAGATGTGCATTGGGTGGCTGACTTCTGGATCTAATGTCCACCATTCACAGTGGGGGCGAAGTTATTTGGAGGGGCATTTTGCTTCTTGAATCATTACCATTTGTAAATATTTGGCAGTCAGGTTCATTTCAACAAGCTGACCTCAAATTCCATGTCAAAAACATTCATCTTTTCTTTCTTTTTAATATATAAAGGCCCCACTTTTTTGGCTGTTAGTCTGCTGGACCTTCAGAGCAGAATAATCCAAAATAACCAAGAGCTCGTATAACTCATGTTTGCCTACCTTAAAATTTCTTTGTGAAAGGAAGTATTTGAGTGATTTCAATGAGGTTTTTAGTCTGTTTGAATGAAACAACTTTATTTAATGTCATTTAAATAATTTTTTCTTCCTTATTCAGCCTAACTTCCTATGTTATCTAGTTTGTATATTAATGCCTGAAGGTTTTTTTGAAACCATACGTTTATTTTTAATGAATAACTTTTTTATGGTGATGGAGATAATTTTGTACTTAGTGAAAAGTTGCAAATATAATACAGAGACTTCCCATGTACCCTTCACCTAGCATCCTCTTGTATCATTATCTTATATAACCGTACATTCTATGGCATGGAACAATGATTAAAACTAAGAAATTGGCCGGGTGCGGTGGCTCACGCCTGTAATCCCAGTACTTTGGGAGGCTGAGGCAGGCGGATCACGAGGTCAGGAGGTTGGCTAACATGGTGAAACCCTGTCTTTACTAAAAAATACAGAAAATTAGCCGGGCGCCTGTAGTCCCAGCTACTCAGGAGGCCGAGGCAGGAGAATTGCTTGAATCCGGGAAGTGGAGGTTGCGGTGAGCCGAGATTGCGCCACTGTACTCCAGCCTGGGTGACAGAGCAAGATTCTGTCTCAAAAAAGAAAAAAACACAAAACCCCCCCCCCACGGAATTAATGTTGGTGCAATATTAAGATGTAGAACTTATTTGGACTTCATCAGTTTTTCCATTAATGTCCTTTTTCTAATCCAGGTCCCGCAATACACTTTAGTTGTCAGGTCTCTGTAGTTCCCTCCAGTCTCTACCAGTTTCTCAGTCTTGTCTTTCATGACCACATTCCTTTAGTTATCTTGTAGACTGCGCCTTAGTTTGGGTTTTTGTCTGATGTTTTCTCATGATTAGATTCAGGTTACACATTATTGGGAATATCCTATTGGGGTATCCGATGTCAGTATTACTGGTGATGTAACCTTGATCACTTGGTTAAAGCGTTATCTTCCAGGATTCTCCACTGAAACTTACTATTTTCCTGTTTGTTGTTATTAAGCATTTGGGAGGAGATACTTTGAGACTATGCAGATACTCTGTTTCTCTTAAACTCTTCACTCACTCACTTTAGCATCCATGGGTAGATCTTACCTGTGACAGTTAACCATGGTGTTCTTATGGAAAATTTTCTGTTTTTCTCATTCCTTCTGTTAATTCTATTAATCAGAATACTCCTGCATGGAAGAATTGTCACTTCTCACCCATTTTACTTACGTATTTATTCATTCAGGTAATTATGTCAGTATGGGCTCCTGGATGTTTATTTTATTCCAGTACTACAATTGTTCTGTTGCTCAAGTTGTTCTGTCCTTTTCTCCCTGAGTTTTGAGTGAATTTGTTTGTCAAGGTGAAGACAAACCTGTTGTGGCTGAAGATACGTAGAGACTGATCTATTTCACTTAACCTCTGGCAAAATGGTGTACAATCTAATTAACTTTCCCCTTCTATTTTTTGAATCAGAATTTGCTGCTTACTGGGATGTCTTTTTCTATTACGATCAGACTAGTGAACCTCCAAATTTAGCACACTCAATATTGGATAATACAAAATATGAAACACATTGCTGATAAAGCGAAGTTAGGTTTCATTTGTTTAATGATGAAATTTAGATTTTATGTGCAGTTTTAAAATTCCTCCTGCTGAAACCATCAATTATTGTGATAAATTATTTCACATTATGTCTGTTGTTTTTAGGAAAAGAAGAAATATGTAACCCTTCAGAGGGAAGAGTCCGATGAAGTCTCCCTTCCAAAAACCTCCAGAGAGCAGGAAATCCCTTCTCTAGCCTGTGAATTCAAAGGAGACCATCTGAAGGTGGTAACTGATTCGCAGCTCCAGGATGATGCCAGTGGACAAAATGAGAGTGAAATGTTTGATATACCACTCACCTCCTTAACTATAAGCAATGAAGAGTCCCTGACGTGTAACACAGAGCCCCCAAAGGAAGGGGGAGAGGCCAGACCCTGTGTAGGGGACAGTGCAGTCACGCCAAAGGTCCAGCCTGGAGACAGTGTTGGAACTATAGTAGAAACCCCCAAGAACTTCACAGAGGTAGAGGAAAATACGTCAGTACAAGGTGGACTTTCAGAAAGTGTACCCCAATCTAATTTTTCTTATACTCAGCCAGAAATGGAAAATATACAAGTCAGAGAAACTCAGAATAGTAAAGAAGACAAAGAAGGCCTGGTTTGTTCTTCAGAGGTGCCACAGAATGTTGGCTTGCAGAGTTCTTGCGAAGCCAAACATGTTTTTCAGACACCTAGAGTGAAGAAACTGTATCCCCAGTTGCCAGCTGAAATTGCCAGAGAAGCACCAGCTTTGGTGGCAGTGAAACCCTTGCTTCGTAGTGAGCGACTCTACCCAGAACTCCCATCTCAACCAGAACTAGTACCATTTACTAAAGAACAGCTAAAAATCTTGGAGCCTGGTTCATGGCTGGAAAATGTCGAGTCATATTTAGAAGAATTTGACAGCATGGCTCATCAAGACAGGCATGAATTTTATGAGTTGCTTTTGAACTACTCACGATGTAGGAAGCAACTGCTACTGGCCGAAGCTGAGCTGCTTACTCTGACATCTGATTGCCAGAATGCTAAAAGTCGGCTGTGGCAGTTTAAGGAGGAACAAATGTCTGTACAGGTATTTTGATCAGAAGCCTGGGAAATTTGCAGCAGAACTGCATTCCTGGGATGCCGTCCAGGTCTGGAATCTGTTCCTTACACCCACACTGCCCCTGCCTCAGCCTAGAGTAGTAGAGTGCAGGGATCACAAAGTCAAATGCCTGCAGGAGCCAGATGTATAACCTGGAGGAGTGAGGCAGGCTCAGTGGGACAACGGTCACTGGGTCAGCCTGTGCCTGGTGTAGAGGGGACAGCCACTCTTGAGTTCTAGTCGATGGTTGTTGTGAGATTGTGATGGTTCAGCATTGCCACATCTTATGATTTTCCAAGAAAAACTAGAAATCTAGATTTTTGTGTGAGGAATCCTAATTTGCAAATGTTAGCAACTAATCAGACACATACACACACAGTGTAGGCCAAGCAAATCATGTCTCCAGCTGAAATTCAGCCCATGGGTCTTTAGTTTGTGACCTTGGGCATAATGCTACCAACATCTGATGGGTAGAGAGTGTCAAGGTTGAGAAGAAGGCATGAGGAAACTGAAGGTGTTATGATCACTTTGGCCTCCATAGGGTTGTATCTGATGGTCTTCCCCATTGAGTGTGGATGAGGAATCTGAAGGTAGCAACCGATTCCTAGCTCCAGGATGATGTCAGTGGACAAAATGAGAGTGAAACTCACCTTCTTAACTATAAGCAATGGAGAGTCCCTGACATGTAACGTAGAGGCCCCAAAGAAAGGGGAAGACGTCCTCTCAAGGTTGAGAGGGGACGGGGAAAACCATTAGATGCAACCCTATGGAGGCCAAAGTGATCATAAGCCATTTCATAGTGGCTTAGGAGAGATGGCAAGGAAGAAGAGGTTACTCTTGACTAGTTTAGCAGTGAAGGGAAGCTGGAGGAGATATTGGAGAGAAACGTGATTCCCTTATCCCTAATCCTCATTCATTGGCAGGCCTGTATATCTCTGTAGATAGGAAGGAGGGAAACATTTGGAAATACTGCATTGAAGAAGGGGGGATAGAATCAAGAACACAGCTGGTGGAGTGTGTATTCTCTTGAGTAGAACTACAAAGAATGATGAGGGTAGATCCAGAGATGTTTTAAGGTACCTTGAAGTTTAGGGGATATCACATTGGCTTCATGTTCATAAAATAGAAGGTAAGATCATCAATCATGAGAGTCTTAGGGACAAGTTCTGTTATTTTCTTGCAGCTTTCACTGCTGACTACTCCTTTTTTTTTTTTTTTTTTGAGATGGAGTCTAGCTCTGTTGCCCAGGCTGGAGTGCAGTGGCGCAATCTTGGCTCACTGCAACCTCCGCCTCCCAGGTTCAAGCAATTCTCCTGCCTCAGCCTCCTGAGTAGCTGGGATTATAGCGCCACCACCATGCCCAGCTAATTTTTGTATTTTTAGTAGAGATGGGGTTTCACTGTGTTGGCCAGGCTGGTCTTGAACGCCTGACCTCGTGATCCACCTGCCTCAGCCTCCCAAAGTGCTGGGATTACAAGCGTGAGCCACCGCACCTGGCCCACTGCTGACTACTTGTTAGAGTTACTCTTCCCTTCTCTGAACTTGCGATGTATTTGTGATTGGCTTTATGTTCCTTTGCACCTGATCATATATTTGCTGGTAATGTTCTCCACACAGTAATACGTCTCCTCACCATGATTAGAAGCTCTTTGAAGATGGTACTGAAGCCTATGTATCTTATACTTGCTGCCTGCTTACTTCAAATGGAAAGAGTAACTGGTTTCATATTGTACCTTTTTGTCCTCTGGTAGGGTATCTGTGCAGATCAAGTGAAAGTTTCCAGCTATCATCGCTACCAAAGAGTAGAAATGAATGAAAACGCACTGATGGAGCTAAAGAAGCTATTCGATGCCAAAGCTGAACACCTCCACCAGACCCTGGCCCTTCATTCTTATACTTCTGTGCTCTCAAGGTTGCAAGTGGAGTCTTACATCTATGCATTGCTCAGTAGTTCAGCTGTTCTGAGATCTTTAGTAATTCACCAGCAAGGCCAAGGTGTGTAAGTAATGAAGCTCTCACTCTTTCTTGCATTTTGAAATAAATAAAAAATTGAGGGCTATAGTCTGGTTGAATTGACTGTATAGTAATTGGTCTTACAAGATACCATTTGTGCTTGCAGTTTTACCAGGCCTCCCCAAGTGTAGGATTGAGATCGGCATTAATGACATTTCTTGGGAGCATTGCCAGGTCTCCTTTCTCTGTGGCTGTCTTTCTCTGCTTCTGTAGGATGCCAGAAAGCTCACTATCTATCATTAATGTCCTTTGCTGTCCTAGTTAATGTGCTTGTTACCAAGTTGAGTCCAAATATAGTTTTTGATTATAAAAGTAATCATCGGAATACTTCTTCACCCTTTATCTCTTGTGGTTTGTTTGGGCTGCTTTGTTTGTAGGACTGTTTTGTTTAATTTTCCAACAGAGGATTAATAATGTTCTGAATTTTTCATCTTATTTTGGATTTTAAGAAATTAGTCTTTATGACATGAATATTAAGTATGCTTATTGAATTATGCAATTTTTATTTCTGGGGGATACATTAGGATACTTTAAAGTAAAAGTCCCCCTCCCCTGTTTTCTTAACTAATCAAATAACTGGGGGTAGATCAGAGATGTACTGATTTTCAAATAAAAAATAGTGGATTATGGCCAGGTGTGGTGGCTCACACCTGTAATCCCAGCAATTTGGGAAGCTGAGGTGGGCGGATCACTTGAGGTCAGGAGTTCAAGACCAGCCTGGCCAACATGGTGAAACCCCTTCTTTACTAAAAATACAAAAACTAGCTGGGCGTGTTGGCGGGCACCAGTAGTCTCAGCTACTCAAGAGGCTGAGGCAGGAGAATGGCATGAACACAGGAGGCGGAGGTTGCAGTGAGTCAAGATCCCACCACTGCACTCCAGTCTGGGCGACAGAGTGAGACTGTCTCAAAAAAAAAAAAAAAAGGAATTATGATGAGGTTGGTTTTTCCGTTATTTTGAAATACTTCAAAGTTAAACACACTTTGGCTTGTCTGTTTATAAAAATTTAAATATTTTTATGTAACTTTTCTCCTTTTTTTTAATCTGCACTAAATATTTTAAAGATTTTTTATTGTTGTTGGTTTAAGTGAAGACACTAAAAATTCCCCCCAAAGCACCATTTATGAGAGACTCATTTAATCTCTCTCATTTACAGTGTCTAAGCAGACAGAAAGCATTCCCTCCGATCTGTGCCAACTAAAGGAATGCATTAGTGTCTTATTCATGTTCACCAGGAGGGTTAATGAAGATACTCAGTTTCATGATGATATTCTTCTCTGGCTGCAGAAATTGGTAAGGGGACAAAAATAGACACTGTAATCTTTGTTTTATTTCTCTCATAATTTAGGAATTATCTGTTATTACATTTGGTCTTCAACAACTTTTTCAGCTAATTTATTTCATGAGTTTATTAATGACTTTGATCATGATACATGGTAATAAGTTATTTAGTGCATTATTAAGCACAAAGTATGTTTCTCTCTGATAAAGATTATGCTGAATGAACTCTGGACTTCAACTTTGAAAGAAATGAAAATGCAGGAGGTATGCTAAATTGAAGACTAGATGTATATTCAGCATATAGGTACAGGTTGAGCGTTCCTAATTCAGAAATCTGAAACGATCCAAAATTCCAAACTTTTTGAGTGCTGATATGATGCCACAAGTGGAAAATTCCACACCTAAGTACTTAATAGAAACTTTGTTTCATGTACAGAATTACAAAAAATTTTGTATAGACCAAACTTCAGGCTCTATGTAAGGTGTGTATGAAACAAATGAATATTGTGTTTAGACTTATGTTTCAGCCCCAAATGTATTAGATGTATTAGTCCTTTTTCACGCTGCTGATAAAGACATATCTGAGACTGGGAAGAAAAGGAGGTTTAGTTTGACTTACAGTTCCATATGGCTGAGGAGGTCTCAGAATCATGGCAGGGGACAAAAGGCACTTCGTACACGGTGGTGGCAAGAGAGAATGAGGAAGAAGCAAAAGCAGAAACCCCTGATAAACCCATCAGATCATGTGAGACTTATTCACTATCATGAGAATAGCACGGGAAAGACCGGCCCCCATGATTCAGTTACCTCCCACTGGGTCTTTCCCGCAACAAAGAAGAAGAAGAATATTCTATCTTCTTCTGAGAGATAGAATTCAAGTTGATATTTGGGTGGGGACACAGCCAAACCATATCACCAAGATATCTTACGTTTATGCAAATATTCCAGAATCCAAAAATGTCTGAAATCTGAAATGCTTCTGGTCTTGTGCATTTTAGATAAGGTATGGATCAAAAAATTTTCTATATCTCATTCTTTCTGTCTTGTGATATTTAATGTCATGCTTAAAACAGTTTCTTTTAAGAGAAAGAAGAAAGGTATAAGGATTTGAAAAACTTAGGAAAGATGTTAGGTGTGTTATAAGAAGAGGGGTATTTGTTTATTGGTTATGTTTATAGATTAAACTACTTGACTTATATTTATTCACTTGTGGCCAGGAACATTAGTGACTTGTAATTTGCCAGAGAAGTAAAAACTAGATTTGTAGAGAATCTGCTTGTGATTTCATCATAGTACTATAGATTCGTAGGCCTCTGGTGTGCCTCTGTGGTAGAAACTAAGCCAGTGAATAGTATGTCTTGTGTCTGGTTACTCTTTTGAAAGATTGCATGCATTGAAGCATTGGATAAATGACTTTACTAGACCCCTAGATAAATTATTCTTTTTTTTAAAAAATAGTGAGATCATATGACCTTTATTGTTTAGGTGTCCGTGCTACAAAGAGTTGGCTGTCCTGGAGATCACCTCTTCCTTCTAAACCATATTCTTCGATGCCCCGCTGGTGTTAGTAAATGGGCTGTTCCTTTCATCCAGGTATGATGAATGGTTACCTCATTCTGAGGGGTTGGGGGAGAGGTTTTATTAGATATTTTTCCTAAAGAAATTGCTGGAAAAAAAAGACTATTTAAAAAATAGTAATATTTAAAATAAAAATCTTAAAATATATCCAGTATACATTTATAAAAGTTCTTAGGCTGAAACTTATTGGGCCACCCATAACTGATAGAACTGTACTAAGTTTGCTTGTGGTCTGGCTGGGTAGGTTCAGTCATATTTAACTCTACACAATTACTGTGCAGGAAGGCTCACCAGGACTTTTTTCCCGTGGTACTCAATACAGCTTCCTAAGTCAATCAGTCTCACACCACAGTTGGTACAGGTCAAACAGAAGCCACCACATCTCAAAGTTCTTTAATACTAGCAGAGATCTTAGGTCTGTGGGATCAACTCTTGTATACTTAGGAGTTGACTATGTGGTTTTTAGATTCTCCTCTCTGCTGTTGCCTTTGGGTCATTAAGTTACTCATAGCAACCACTTAGAATGGGCAGGAGCCAAAATGTTTGCCAAGTTCAGCTTCTCCACGTCTCCTTTGCTTTAGCATTTCTGGTGGCAAGAAGTCTGAATCTTATTAGGTAGAAGGAGGATTTTTTTGTTTTTGTTTTGTCTCTCTTTGGATTAAAGTAGCAGTAGTGTCCTTCATCCTATGTGGTTACAGATAATTGATGGAAACTGCTCAGCTACCTCTGCTCTTTGAGTACAGCTGACTCAGTGCCGCCAAGTAACCCATGGGCTGTGCTTTACTCTTGTGTATTAGGTACCAGTTTCAGCTTTGTTCTCTTAACAGCAACTTTGGTCAGAACGCTTGTGAACCAAGATTATGGACACTTGGGTTATTTGTTTTCTACAGTACGCTTTTTGCTTTTCTGATTTCAGATCAAAGTGTTGCATAACCCATCAGGGGTCTTTCATTTTATGCAGTCCCTTGCCCTGCTGATGTCTCCTGTCAAGTAAGTGTGGAAGAGCTTTGTGAAGGAGAGATTGAAATGCTTCTTTCTTCTAAAGGATTGGCTCCTGAAACTGCCTAGATCCAAAGAAGAACAGCTAAGGGAAGTGTTGGCATTCTAGAATTTAACATTGCAGATTTTCTTTGGGTTTGATTCTTGTTTCAAAGTGACTCTTCAACTGCTTATATATAAGCAACTATTTTTATGGGATCCCCGTTTTAGTGGGTTTGCCCCTCTTGTCATATATGCTATTGTGAAAGGTGCTACAGACAAAAAGGGTGATCTGTTTCTTGGAAGAAGAGATTTAATGCCAGAAGAGAAATAGCACAGAGAGATTTAAAGTGCTAAATTGTGAAGCTATGCAGTAGAAATGAAGAGAACAAAGAGTTGAATGGGGTAGTCAGAGAGGGTTTCATGGTAAATGAGCTGTGTTTGAAGAATGCATTGGACTGGGCATGGTGGCTCACACCTGTAATCCCAGTACTTTGGGAGGCCAAGGCAGATGGATCACCTGTGGGCAGGAGTTTGCGACCAGCCTGGCCAACATGGTGAAACTCCATCTCTACTAAAAATACAAAAATTAGCCGGGCATGGTGGTGTAATCACCTGTAATCCCAGCTACTTGGGAGGCTGAGGCAGGAGAATCGTTTGAACCTGGGAGGCGGAGATTGCAGTGAGCCGAGATCGTGCCACTGCACTCCAGTGTGGGTGATAGAGCAAAACTCCATCTGAAAAAAAAAAAAATGGATTGGATTTCAGTAGGAGAATGGGACAATGGAGAACATGTAGGTGGGAGAACAGTGTGAGCAAAGGCCCCAACACAGGTTAGGATAGCTGTGCAGAGCACAGGTAGATCAGTGTGGCTGAAGCAAAGGTGTGTGCGGGAGCTGGTAATAAAGGTGGGTTGGATTATAGAAGTCCTTGAAATTAAATGAGGAATTTAGATTTGATGCCTTGCTGCCTTGGATACAAGGGCCTGCTGCTGCACATGGTAGATAATGATTTGACTCACAAGTGTTTTTGCATTGATATCTATGTTTTGGCCCTAAACAAGCCTCTCCATTACCTTTTTTCTTTTTTTTTGAGATGGAGTCTCTCTCTTTCGCCAGGCTGGAGTGCAGTAGAACGGTCTCAGCTCACTGCAACCTCCGCCTCCTGGGTTCAAGAGATTCTCCTGCCTCAGCCTCCTGAGTGGCTGGGACTACAGGCATGCGCCACCACACCCAGCTAATTTTTGTAGTTTTAGTAGAGACGGGTTTTCACCATGTTGGTCAGGATGGTCTCGATCTCTTGACCTCATGATCCACCCATCTTAGCCTCCCAAAGTGCTGTGATTACAGGCGCGAGCCGCCGTGCCCAGCCTCCATTATTCTTTTTTATTCAGTAAGTCATAGTTGGTAAAATAGTTTCCCTGGCAAGACTCTGTGAGCCTGGTTTGAGTTAAGGTCTGTAGCATATGTATTGAGGTCCTGCGTCATGCAGGGAGCTGTGCTAGTATAGCTGCTTTCTGCAATTACTCATCATTACTAATTCAGAATGGTTGCATTTGCCACCAAAATTAGTGCAGTTTTAGTAGCCTTGGTTTTTGGCCAGTTCTTATTCACTAATTTAAACCATTTGAAGATTGGGTTGATGTGTGGCTCTTCTTCAGGGTGAGTAGATAATCCAGAAGGCACTCACATGGGCCTTCATCTAAGTGATGGGAGTGATTATTCTTGTCCTTTAGAAATCGAGCTGAGTTTATGTGCCACATGAAGCCCAGCGAGCGGAAGCCATCCTCCTCAGGGCCTGGGTCTGGGACCTGGACGCTAGTAGACGAAGGAGGAGAAGAGGTAACTTGTCATGTCTGCATTATTTTGATGAATTATTGTGCCCTCTTCTTATGCACCAGGTGTTGTTCTAAGCACTTTTCACATAATATCTCATTTAATTCTCCCAGCAACCCCATGAGGTAAAGACTTATGATTCCTATTTTATAGATGAGGAAACTGAGGTGCAGGGCTGTGAAGTACCTTCTCTCAAACCATAGGGTCATTAAATGCGGAGCCTTTAGAGCCTGTGCTTTGAGCCAGTGTGCTGTGTTGCACCCCTTCTCTAGAATATCATTCTGTTCAGCTCAGAGAATTTGGCACTTGGAAATTAAAGTCATATTACATAAGATGTATATTATGAGTTTCTTTATGTAGTAACAAGTTTCTGGGGTTGGAGCCTCACCTACAGATGGTGAATCTGAGTAATAAAGAGCTGGAGCTTAGCAAGGTTTTCCCTTAACTCATAAACTTGTTATCCAGAAATTCTCATTTGAAAGGTAGAAGATGGTTTTCCATTTTTGGTTCTCCTGTCAAGTAAGTGTGGAAGAGCTTTGTGAAGGAGAGATTGAAATGCTTCTTTCTTCTAAAGGATTGGCTCCTGAAACTGCCTAGATCCAAAGAAGAACAGCTAAGGGAAGTGTTGGCATTCTAGAATTTAACATTGCAGATTTTCTTTGGGTTTGATTCTTGTTTCAAAGTGACTCTTCAACTGCTTATATATAAGCAACTATTTTTATGGGATCCCCGTTTTAGTGGGTTTGCCCCTCTTGTCATATATGCTATTGTGAAAGGTGCTACAGACAAAAAGGGTGATCTGTTTCTTGGAAGAAGAGATTTAATGCCAGAAGAGAAATAGCACAGAGAGATTTAAAGTGCTAAATTGTGAAGCTATGCAGTAGAAATGAAGAGAACAAAGAGTTGAATGGGGTAGTCAGAGAGGGTTTCATGGTAAATGAGCTGTGTTTGAAGAATGCATTGGACTGGGCATGGTGGCTCACACCTGTAATCCCAGCACTTTGGGAGGCCAAGGCAGATGGATCACCTGTGGGCAGGAGTTTGCGACCAGCCTGGCCAACATGGTGAAACTCCATCTCTACTAAAAATACAAAATTAGCCAGGCGTGGTGGCGGGCGCCTGTAGTCCCAGCTACTTGGGAGGCTGAGGCAGGAGAATGGTGTGAACCTGGGAGGCGGAGCTTGTAGTGAGCCGAAATTGCGCCACTGGTGACAGAGCGAGACTCCGTCTCAAAAAAAAAAAAAGGAGATGAAAGTGTTCAGCCAACAGTTTTCAGAGTGACAGCCATGGCAGCTGTGGGATCGTGTCTGTGTATTTCCCAGAGTGCTCATTCAGAAGTGGGGAGCACCCGTCACAGTCGTTTTTCTCTTCCTGAGACTTGCAGGAGGAGGTGGTCAGGTGGTGGTAAATGACGTGGACGTGCAAGCGTCTTTGCTAGAAACTGAGGAATCATTCTGAAGCAAGCTTCTCAGGAACCAGTACAGATTGGTCTTTTAAAGATTGCAGTGGAGCAGTATGTTTTTTTTAGAGTGGTCTTTCTTGGGGGAGAAATCTTTTCTTCTGGTAGGTTTCCTGCATTTAATCCCAGACAGATAATGATTAAGGAGCATTATAATTACTTGTAATGATTAAGCATTATAAATACTTCCAGTCAAAATATTTGATTAATTATCTCACCCTGCATTGGTGCCTGGCTCCAGTTTAGCACTCCCTAAATATTCAGCGAATTCAAGAACTGGGGAATAGATGAGAAAGTTGGGAGTGCCATGGCCTCAGAAAAGGCTGTGGGGAGGAAGGCACTCTGAATTACCCACATCAGTGGTTTCTTGATACTAGCTATATACTAGAATCACCTGGGCAACTTGCAAACCTTGCCCAGGCCCACACCCAGACATCCAAATAGTTAAAAGCCTACCTGGTGGTTAAATGTACAGCTGAGTTGAGAATAGCTAAGTTGAGAACTGCCTTAAGTAGAGTTTCTGAAACGCTTGTTTGTTAGACATTTTAGACACATAATAAGACTGTAAAAATTGAGTGGCTTAAGGAAATTTTGAATGATTTGCATTAGTCCCTTGTGGAAATTGAGGTGATACATTCTATTCTTCAGGTTCTCAGGATCTTTTTACTTCCTTCCCTTTTTAACGTAGCATATCTTAGGACATCAATCAACTTGGTTTCTAAGGTGACTTTAGTACTCTGTGTCAAACAAAAAGACCGCAAAGATTTCCCCTATGTAATCTTTGTGTATGACCACTGTTATTTTTATACGGCTTTTGGCAGCACTGATTGACAACAGAACTTTAGTCATCTATAGCAAATGTCAATTGCTTCCTCTTAAGTCTGTCGAATACTACATAGACCTTGATTTTGGGAGAAGAGAATTGCAGCTAACATAACTTGAACTCTCATCTGTGGTTCTTGCTTTTTTTGAGATGGAATCTCATTCTGTCACCCAGGCTGGAGTGCAATGGTGTGATCTTGGTTCACTGCAACCTCTGCGTCCCAGGTTCAAATGATTCTCATGCCTTGGCCTCCCGAGTTGTTGGGATTACAGGTGCACGCCACCATGTCTGGCTAATTTTTGTATTTTTAGTAGAGATGGGGTTTCACCATGTTGCCCAGGCTGCTCTTGGACTCCTGACCTCAGGTGATCTGCCTGCCTCGGCCTTCCAAAGTGCTGGGATTACAGGCATGAGCCACCGTGCCCAGCCCATCTGTGGTTCTTTAATTGATGTTATCAAAGCACCGATCCCTATAGTAAGGTCCTCACTCTAGAGGATTTCTTTTTTTCTATTTTCTTTGGGATGGACATTTAATGAGAGCAGTTTCATCACTGACCATGACCCAGATACATATAAAATTGTGCTTGCAATTTCAGGGGATTTACTGTGGAACTATCTCTGGAACTGAGACTATAAATTTCTGTCCTGGAGAAAAGGTCCATGAAGACTCATGAGGATATCACATGTATACCATTGAGACCTGTGATAATTTACCTCCTGTAACTCTGGATCATAGTGTGATCTGATCAAATCAGCTGACATGACTTTTTATCTTTTCCCTTAGGATGAAGACCCTGAGACCAGTTGGATTCTCCTTAATGAAGATGATTTGGTTACCCTTTTAGCACAGTTCCCCTTTCATGAACTCTTTCAACATCTTCTTGGGTTTAAAGTAAAAGGTAGACTCATTTCTCTTATCATGTGTAAAATGGGGTAGTGGCAAATGCAAACACAGGAACTCTGCATCGAGTCTTTTTTTTAATTTTG